GCTTAATTTGTGGCACACGTGCTAAAAAGGATGCCCCCTGCCACTGATCCAGAGTGTTAGTCTGGGCAATGGGTGTCATTGTGCCAAGTTGCACCTAGAGTTTGTTATATCGGCTACGTCTATACAGCTTCAGTGACAAGCCTGGGACCACTGCCACGAAACAAGTCACGTTCATTTTCTGTGGCTCTGCACAGACTCATGCCCACAACTAGGGTGCATGCCCAGCACTACTCTGCCCTGCCTACGCTGCCAGATTACTGTGCTTGGGTGTGTGTGGCATGGGCAGGGGTCATGTCCCAGAACCAACTGCAGGCTCCGCAGGCAGGTAGCATAGACGTGGCCCCTGAACCTGATGCTGCTGTCACTTGGACCTGGTGTCATTTGGCAATAAGGCCTCTGGAGTCAGAAAGGAGGGGAAGGGAGGCTCAGAGCCGGTGGGCAGCAGATGATACTAGTTAGTAAGCACTGTTTGTAAGTGATCTGGTGAGATGATAATCTCACTGGGGGAGGAGAGAGGCACCAGTTGGGGAGAAATGAGCGGAGTTACACATGAAAATCTGTCCCGTTGACCTGTGACACCAACACTCTTACCTCAGAGCCCATTCCTACTGTGTGGCGTATGGTTGGTTTCACCGCCCTCTAGTTCTTCTTCTGTCATGCTCCCCTTCATGTCCTCCAGCACAGCAGGTCAGATTTGGAAAGCATTTCCTTCCATGTTCTTGGCTTTTGCTTTTTGGCAACCTTTAGCAGCTCTTTCTCAGCAGAATTGTCCTTTACGAACAGGACAGCTCAGGGTCTGTGTCATGCATCTATGCAGCATCTAGCTAAGGCCTCGAGTGAGCAAAACACTGAAACACACATTTAAACGTAAGCACAAAGCATCCCATTTCTTTCAGTGAGAACTTCAAGTTAAGCTTTGGTGAACGGAGGCCTCTGTGCTCATTTCAAGTGATTGCAGAGGTGGAATCGCTAAATTATTGTAAAAATCCTCAGTCATACTTTATCCTAAGGATCCACTTGTAAAGGTTTATAAATGATCTGTAGATGTTATAAGCATGTTACAAGCATGTCTTGTAGAAGGCTATACTGACATCAGTAGGAGATGCTGTGGATGGTTAAAATCATGGTTATAAACAGCCCGTGGGTTGTTCAAACAATCTATAGCCATTGATTGCCCATTTGGTAAAACATCTCTTCATAATTTATTCACCCTTTATAAAATATTTATACATGGATCCTTAATATAAACCATGAACAAATTAAGAATTTGAGGGGAGCAATGATTTTGCATGATCCAAAACTTCATCTTCTGTAATATTGTTTCATTTCCTCTTGCTGTTTCTATTCTACTCTAGATCCTAACTAATACCTTCCAAATGGGGGGAAATCTTGTCATAATCCAGCTCCAACAGATAGCTCATCATAACTAGATTCCCTATAGATGCATTAGGGGAAGAAATCTATTACTCCATAATTAAATGGAGGCAGAAATGACTGGTCTTTTTTATTCTTTGTATATTTTAAAGCATAAAACTCAATTAAAATGTATTCACAAAAGGGGATTTATCTCTAATGGGAATGCTGAATTTCTTGTGTGTTTTAAAATAGGAACATCCTAATAGCTAAAAGCAAAGATAACATATGGAGCTAATTTCTGGTTTCAGTTTCACTGGTGAAAATCATGAACTCCAGTGATTTTAATGAATTTATGCTGGTAGTTCTGGGAAATTAGAGTCTGGATGAGATTGCTCTTCATTTTGGAGTAAAAAATACCTTCTTTTTTCTTCTTTCAGAAGTCTGTTCTTTTTATTTGCCAAGTATGCTTTCTTTTCAGCGTAGCAGTCTAGGAAAACTTTGTGCTAACAAAGGCTGAATGTAGGAAAAAAATCTGCAATGTATTTGAAGGGTGAAAAATACACATTCTTGAAAATGTTTCAATTGTTTTATTCACTGATTTCCAATGGCTTAGTTTTAAGGAAAGCATGCATTATCTTTTCAAATGAATGCAGACTATTCTTTCTCTTTTGTGTGTGCACAGAATAGATTTGTCTCTCTTCTCTGAAGGTGAGTGTATAAATTGTGGAAATATGGAATCCGTTCTTTATACATATTTGAAATTCTCTGGCATGTATTATGCAGAAGGTGAGACTAGATTATTATAATGGTCTGTTCTGGCCTTAAAATCTATGCATCACATCAGTCTATGAAAGTGAGTGTGAATTAGCCTATGAATGTTTTAGTATGTACCAGATTCTATACTGACCTGAAGAGAATCGTATGGTTGGTGGAGACTTCAAGGGTTATTGAATTTAACCCTTTAGAGATGGATGATTTGCTATTCCTAAACCATTCCATAAAGATGCCACTAGAACATTATACCCTGTATATCAGTGGTCAGCCACGTTTTTGGTCAGAGTGCCAAAAACACCCACAACTTTGACTTGTAGTGTGCCAGGTGTGAGGGGGCTGATCCTTGTTGCAGCAGTGCAGCCCCAGCCCCTTCCCCGCTGTCTGCCCTGAGACACGTGTGCCAAGCGAAATGCCTTTGCATGCCATGCTCAGTCACCCATGCTGGGGGTTGCCTACCCCTGCTATATAGGGGACCTGTAAGATCATCGAGTCTGGTCCCCTGCCATAGGTAGGAGGTAATTGGGCTCAAACGAGCTCCACGAGGTGCCTGTCCAACCTCCTCTTGAACACCTCCGGGGATGGTGACACACACACACACATATATATTATACCCAATACACACACACACACACACACACACACAAACTATGCCCAGTATATGTGTGTGTGTATAGAGAGAGAAAAAGTGTGTGTGTGTATAGAGAGAAAGTGAGTGTGAGTGTGTGTGTGTGTGTATGTGTGTGCACATGCACATGCAGGGTCATATATATAGGGTATAATGCTGGAGAGGTATCTGAAGTGGTTTAGGAACAAACAGCAAATCCTGTGTGTCTGCATATAGGGGGTATATATATAAATACACCTTAACTGTATAAAGCTGTGGAGTCCCCAATGGGGAACCTTTTTAAAGAGCAGGTTGGACAAATACTGGTTGCGATGGTTTAAATAGGGACAATTCTGCCTTCAG